TGACTTTTGCTAACATTTTATATACCACTGTCAGTAATGTTATTGGGCGGTAGTTTCGTATATTTATTTTATCCCCTTTCTTGTATAGTAAAGTAAGAGTTCCCCGCTCCACCAATTCTGCAGTGGACCCTGCTTCTTGAACATGTTCGTAGAAATTCATCAAATGACATGAGAAGACTGGCCAGATAAATTCTCATAATTCCTTGGGAACTCCATTAATCCCTAAAGTTTATTTTCCTCGATTTGTAAGAGAGGTGTCCATATTTCCTCTTCTGTTAACCATAATTCTAGATGTTATTTTTATTTAAGGGATAAAGTTTGTGTGACAACTAACAATATGCTTTCCACGTCCCTCCTATCCTCTTCCTCTTTCCTTTGGCTCTTGGCCGATGTAAGAAGCTCTTAAAAAAAATAATAACCCGTCCTTAAAAAATAGTCGAATTGTAGGTAGATTAGGATCATTGGATTTGTGTTTTATTGGATCAACTAGCACTTCTATGGACGCCCTATGGACCCGTGTCTGAGCTGAAGCAAAAAAGGAAATGTCTACCTCCTAGTAAGATGTTGAATTAACTTACTTCTGATCTGGTGACCTTGTGAACGATGTTGTGCATAGACTAAGAGTAGATTTCCTAGGGTTTGGATGTGAGTTTGTTGTCGAGAGTGAGAAAGGTGATCCTGCTGTTCGTAAAAAAAGATTTGTTCCTGAATTGTCATTTCCTTGTTATATCTATTTTTAGCCAATATTATTGAGTATTCATTACTTTTTCTGGCCACAAATACTAAACCATTATTAAACCCCGAGATAATCGAATCATGTTGATTCTTCGTTGGCTACCCAAATTTCCAAACATCTTGGATATATTGTTCATACTGCTGTAAATTACGAAGTGATCTGTTTAGTTAATAGAATCCTCTACCTTGATTCGTTTTTTAATGAAAGGATAGTAAAACCACACACATCTTATGGTCAGCCCCTAGGCATGGGCTCTGAGGGAAGATAGCCGCCCCCTGTAACGCCCTATCAGAGTCCTCTTTTTATAAAGAATCAAATCAATACGGGACTTAGAGTGGTGAGATGATCCATTATGGCGAATACAAAATAATACACGTCCTTATGAGCTTAGTCTTCGAAAGGAATCAAAAAGCTTCTATGATTTGCAAAGTCTGTGAATGATAGCTTCATCCTCTTCTATGTAAGATGGGAAAATACGGCTTTTGATGACGGCGGACCCGTTTTCCGGTTGGCATAATCAAAAGGCGGCCATGGTATGAACCGGGCCCTCCGGACCAGACCATGCCAAAAGGCTGCCAGTTACTCCGGAAAAAAAAAGAAGAAAAAAAGCTCAGTGTTTGCATGAGCCGGACCCCCACTGGCATCCGCAGCTCATGCTTGACCACCATGGTTGGGGCGGGGGGCAACATGCATCCCCTCTGATGGCTGGAGGGAGACAACAAAGCTATGTTTGCAGGGGTCGCCTGTATAAGTAAGCCTTAGGAGGAATGGTAGGTAGGTAGTGAAGGTGAATTGAAAGAACATGTATTTTTTTTACAATTATAGGGCGCACTTAGTGCCAACGAACTGGGATAGTCCTCTGGATACTCCTGATCGGTATTAGTGGAATCTATGACCAACATGTGTGTGAGTGCGAGCGCGAGTGGGTTGTGTGGGTGAGTGTTGGCCATAGCCACTGCTGCTACTCGATGAGGGGTGGGGGACGACGAGAAAGGGAGGCGTAGCTACTGGCAGGTCTCGGTCTTTGTGTTAGCCAGACCCACCCGGCGGCCCCAACCCTATACCCTAACCATTAGGGGCAAGGGGCAACATGAAATCTCCCCTTCACAGTGAGAGGAAACTATGCTTGCAGGGGTCCCCTCTAGATAGCCTTAGGAGTAGGTAGTGAAAGGCAAAAAAACAGAAGTTGAGAGAAGAATATAGAAATAAAATAAAATAAAATAATTAGCGGACAACAAGTCATGTGCGTCGTAAAATGCTGCAAGTGGGACCCGAACACTGGGGCCAAGCCCCACTTACGCTGATGCTTCTTTTGAGGCTGTTGATCTTCTTAATCTACGGTCAGAAGTTGAGAATTCGGGGGCCATGCCCCACTTCTCGAGGTTTAGTTCTGGTTTCAAGTATGCAGGGCCCCTTGCCATCCGATCTGAAAATTCCACGGCCATGGTGTGACCACGTTGAAAAATACACGAAACATAAAAACTAGCCCCCCGCTACCGGTAGTGGGACATGGCCCCGGGTAGGTGGACTTGGCCCCGGTCTGTTTGCTGACATGCATGTATAAGGGTCTGATCCGACTATACATACCGTAAGTAAAAAAGTGCCTTTTCGCGGATCCCACAGTGTTCCGAAGTCGTAGGCGGCCCCATCGACTTAGGAGGTATGTGGAAACATTTGTAGTCGTGGCGCTCTGGGAAGGAACGGCGCCGAAAAAGTCGTCGGAAGAATTCCCGAAATGTGAAGAGTGGTTGACCCGTACCCTTCCGCGAAAAAGCTGGAGCCGTTTTCTTGTTTTTTTTTTGTTTTTTTTTTCCGTTTGTCCGTTAGCTGGCGGAAGAGCCACGTTTCAGAACCGCCCAGTCCATGTCCGTCGGAAGAAAATATAGAAATGGGTCCAGGCCATGTCCGTCGGAAGAGCCACGTTTCAGAACCGCCCAACAAAAGCCGCCGTGGTCTGCGTCCAAGCTGCGAAGGAAACGGGAGAGTGGAGTCCCGATTTTCTTTTATGGCCCGCGTGGCGTGGCGCGGGAGCAGCTTTTTCGGTACTTTTACCACTTTTTAGTAAAAGTTCGTATACATACCGTAAGTAAAAAAGTGCCTTTTCGCGGATCCCACAGTGTTCCGAAGTCGTAGGCGGCCCCGTCAACTTAGGAGGTACGTGGAAACATTTGTAGTCATGGCGCTCTGGGAAGGAACGGCGCCGAAAAAGTCGTAGGAAGAATTCCCGAAATGTGAAGAGTGGTCTACCCGTAACCTTCCGCGAAAAAGCTGGAGCCGTTTTCTTGTTTTTTTTTTTTTTTTTTCGTTTGTCCGTTAGCTGGCGGGTGGTTTGTCCGTGGTCCAGCACCTGTGTGGCAGAAGAGGCCCTGTCCAGGCCATGTCCGTCGGAAGAGCCACGTTTCAGAACCGCCCAACGAAAGCCGCCGTGGTCTGCGTCCAAGCTGCGAAGGAAACGGGAGAGTGGAGTCCCGATTTTCTTTTACGGCCCGCGTGGCGCGGGAGCAGCTTTTTCGGTACTTTTACCACTTTTTCGTAAAAGTTCGTAGTCGGATCAGACCCTAAGTACCTGATCCCACGGTTCATAGTAGCAGAGCTTTTTGGAAAAAAAGGGGATCCCATATGGTTTCCCCAACTTCCCCGTCGGTAGTGCAACAGAAAATGGCTGTTTCTACTCATGGAAATTTGCATGTCGCCACGGCCTCGACCCGCGGTGCGAAGTTGGTAGGAAACGGTAGGGAGCCCGTGACCCCCTACCCTTCCCCCAAAAAGTAGGCAATTTTTGAGTTTTTTTTTTTTTTTTTTTTTTTTTTTTGTGACGACGGTCTTTCTTGTGTCCATGGTCCAACTGATTGTGTGACACGTGCGAAGGTCCCTGCCGTCGGCCAAACGGCACACCGGGTCGACGCGAGTCGAGACGGTAGGGAGCGGGAAAATTTGCCGCAGGTTGTACGTCCACAATGGACAAGTGCAGGATGTACGTCGCACAGGCCCTCCTTCATGGGACGGGAAAATTTGTGAGCCGCGGACACAAAAGGAGACCGGGTGTCTCCGCTGGAAGCCATAGGCCTATGGGATCCCACTTTTTCCCTACGAAAAGTTCGGCACTTCTCCTACTTTCAAGAGACTTTTACGACTTTTTGATAGAAGTTCAGAGTGGGATCAGCCTCTAAGGGTCAGATCCCACCACCTTGGATTATTCATTTTTCACCCTCGATCACGAAGATCAACGGTCAGAGATGAACAACAGGGGCTAGTGGGATATGGCCCTAATTCAGCCAGATGGGCCCGAACACCGAGCGACATTGGGCCACTCGCTCAGCGACAAGCACGTCAGGCCACCGGCGACACGTTGTCGTCTCCTTTTTTTGTTTTGTTTTTTTGTTTTTTGGTCGGCTCAATTTCGTCTTTAAAGTTATTCCCGCCGAAAATCTCGCGGCCTTCGCGGAAATGTTCGCGGGGTGTTCCTGGGATCTTCGGAAGGATCGTCTTGTACGCCTGGACCTCACAGTATCCCGACGGTCATCGTCCTCTCTGCAGAGGGGGGAATGCTACCAGCGCGGCCACGTGTACGCCACGTAAGCAGTGAACGATTCCGTTACGAATCGTCGGGACCTCACAGTATCCCGACGGTAATCGTCATCTCTGTAGAGGGGGGGTATGCTACCAGCGCGGCCACGTGTCCGCCACGTACGAATCGTCGGGACCTCACGGTGTCCCGACGGGAGTAATCCTCTCTGTAGAGGGGGGGATGCTACCAGCGCGGCCACGTGTACGAATCGTCGGCGAATTTTGCATGTTTTCTTTCCAGGTGAAATCCGTCCGCGCAGCCTCAAGTCATCATTACCTCCCATCATCTTTGATTCGATGTCCGGCTGATCGCCACGTGGTAACGTAGAACGCACTGCCACGTGGCAACAGGAGAGGAAGAACGTGGTTCTTCTCTACACTCGCCACGTGGCTCATCATTCCGACGGCTCTCCTTTCTTGCCTACGCTGCCGTTCTCGTTGCAAAACTTTTTCTTCTGCTTCTCCCTCTCCTCCTCCTCGTCCTCCTCCTTCGTCTGGTTTCTGTGGGAAGGGTGAGGTGCCAGAGCCGACGCGCACGCACTTACACACGGCCGGCACGTCCACAACGTGTTAGGCAGTTGTTTCTTTGCCGCATAAATCGAGCGGGAGAAGGGGGGGGGGGCGCGGGGCGCAGGCGGGGGGAACGGGKGGGGATATCTAGGGAATCAGAGGCACCAGAGGAGTGTGGGGGCTCTGAGGCAGGGTTTCCTGTGTGCTGGGTCGATGGTCCGCAGAGAGAGTCTCGCTTGATTGAGCGGGCGCGCACAAGTTGACATCAACCGCTGCAGATTTTGAAAGGCGCCGCCACGTCAGCACCCCCCCGCCTGGGCCATCCGTCGTCGGTTGTAGAATCCTCTACCCGAGAGAAAGAAGCGACCGTAAAATTTTGTGCAGCAGAGGGGAAGAGCGGAGAATCAATCAAACAGAGGAGAAAGGAGAGTAGTGATAAACAGAGGCCCCAAAGACTGTCTTTCGTGCACGCTTCGACCAAATTTCCATACACATCCGCGCATGCACTAGCCTCAGAAGAAGAAACGCGCTCATTGTCCTTCGCGCGTTTCAACCAGGAAGCCCTCCTGGCACTCACTCATCAGGGGCCTTTTCTCCCAGCATCCGCCGCTCATTGTCCCTCGCACGATTCAGCCAGGTAGCCCACTTGGCACTCATCAGGGGCCTTCTCCCCAAATCCGCCTTACGCCAACCACCTACTTGTCCAGCCACTGAGAAGGAGAAGAAGATAAGAGCACAAGAAGATAGGTTTGGCAAGACACATCACAAAGGTAAAGGTATGTCGGTCTCCATCGCCGCAGAATGGAGCGAGCTCAACAATCGGTTTTACAGAAAACAAGAGCTGTACTCAATGAGTTGGGGCACGATTGATCTGAGCCGACACTTGGTGGCCTGCGCGCGATTTGCCGGCCCGATTGCGACTGTGCGCGACGAAGACAAGTTGCTCATCCTTGGCGCTGAGTCCACAAGGCCGAGAGTGTGTATATATTCCTCCTCGGGATTGCCGATTACCTCCTTTGTATGGGATAAGGAGAGGATCATAAAGATCGGATGGACGGAAGACGAAGTGTTGTTGGTTGTTGTCGACGATGGGACTGTCTTTCAGTTCTCCATCCATGGGGTTCCTCTGCCTACGCAGTTTTCGTTCGGGGAAGAAGCCGGCGATGGCCAAGGGATCTGCGATTGCCAGATTTGGGGGAGCGGGATGGTGGTGATGTCAGACACGTACCGACTGTTCGCTGTGACTAGCTTGCAAGAGCCGCGGCCTTTCGCTCTTGCTAATCCTGGTCTGCAGGAGATGCCTCACTGCATGGAGGTGATCCCGCCGGAATTCACAGTGTCGGGATCGCTGGAAGTATTGCTGGCCGTCGGATCGACCGTGCTTGCCGTCACCGCTAATTCCGTACAAGATCGCGGCATCCAGTCGGGACCTATCACCATGATGGCATTGTCGCCGAACGGCAATTTCCTGGCATGTTTCACACACGAAGGAAAACTGCTCGTGCTGTCTGCAGACTTCACCAAGGTGTTGTCAGATATCGAAACAGAGGTAAGTCAAAAAAGAAAAAAAAGAAAAAGAAAAAGAGAGAGTCAACTACCCCCCTCTCCCTCCCTCCCTCCTTCCCTTCCATCTCTACCCTCTCTCTCTCTCTCGATTCCCCTCGCCCTCTTTTGACCTCTCTCTCTCTCTCTCTCTCTCTCTCTCTCTCTCTCTCTCTCTCTTTCTCTCTCTCTCTTGTGATTCTCCCTCCCTCTCTACCTCCTCTACCCTCTCTCTCTCTCTCATTCTTTTGCTCTCTCTCTTGTGATTCTTCCTCCCTCTCTGCCTCCTCTACCCTTTTTTCACTCTCTACACTTTTTCTTTCTCTTGCTTTCTCTCTTGTGATTCTCCCTCCCTCTCTGCCTCCTCTACCCTTTTTTCGCTCTCTACACTCTTTCTTCTTTAGATCAATTTCTCTCGTTCTCTCTTTCTCTCATTCTCTCTCTCTCTCTCTCTCTCTTTCTCTCTTTCTCACTTTCTCTCTTTCTCTCTTTGTCTTTGTATCTTTTTGATGCTCTGGCTTCGGATCAGGTGTGAGTGTGGGACGCGGGAAATCCGTGCTGGGGTGGGGTGATTGGGTCAAGTACTGCGTCTTGGGGCTTAACTTTCACCCTAGTCAGCTAATTAGCCGTTTGGTTGAGTGTGCACCTCCCATCAGGGAGGTCGCGTGTTCGATTCTTGATGAGATCTGATCATCGACGAAAGAATGCAATTGTAATTGTCACTTTCCTTTTCTCCGTCTCTCTCGGAAGATATGACGACCTCACTGATTGTTAGCATTTTTTTTCTTTTCTGTTTTGTCTGTTGTCTTTTGATTGTTAGCATGTTTGTTTCCCCTATCTCCTCCTCCTCCTCCTCCTCCTCCTCTTCTCTATCGCCTGGCTTCCTTCCGTCTCATCCTGTCCTGTCTGCCGGAGTCTGTCTCTTCCACACTACAATTCCCCCCTTGGATATCTTTCTTTAACCCCCAATCGTCGTGCAACGAGTTGTTTATTCCCCAAGGCCCGTTTCTCTCTTTCTCCTAGTGTATTCATGAATTCCGACTCCTCCCCTCTCACGTTCTTACCCTCCCCCCCCCCTCTCCCTCCCTCTCCCTCACCTCCTTTCTCTTCTTCCTCTCCTTTTCACTTACCTCCTCCTTTCTCTTCTTCCCCTCTCCTCCTCACTTAGCCCCTCTCCCCCTCACTTAGCCCCTCTCCCTCCAAGCCCCTCGTCGTCCTCCTGCTCTACCCCTCGCCTTCTCCTTTCTTCTCTTCCGTTATCCTTTTGTCAATATTTGGCAAACTATAAAGAGAGAGAGAGAAAGATCCAGATTTATGAACTCTTGATCTCCTTTATTCTGTAGTTACCTTATCCATATTTGTCAATCTGGATCTTTCTCTCTCTTTTTTTTTTTTTTTCTAAATTATGTTCCCTTATCCATATTCATCAACTCGCGATCTCTTTTTTTTTTTTTTTTTTTTTCTGTAACTTTTTTCCCATTTTTCATAATTATCAACTCGCTCTCTCCTTTTTTTTCCTCTTTTCTGATTCTCTTCCCCTATCCATATTTATCTACTCGCGCTCTCTTTTTTATTCTGTTTCCTTTTCTATATTCATCAATCTTTTTTGCGATCTTCTTTATCTTGTTCCTTCATGAATAATTTTTGCAGGTACCAAAAAAACAAGTAAAAAAAAAATCATGCGGGTACGTGGGCACATCAGCCATGGAACTCGAAGAAAATAGTAAAACCTTGTGCGTTTTTTCCTCTTCAGGTAAGTTCACGGCCAAAGGGCGTAATTGCCAAGTAAAGGGAAAAAAAGAGGAGGGACAACCCCCTCCCCCGCCTCTCCCTTTGGTTGAAATACAAGCCATACTAAAATGGAACAATTCCTAACTGGGAAAGTGTTGGATTAACCTCTCGTAAATATGCAGCCATCAATGGGAGACCAATAAATAAATTGCCAAATTGGGGAAAATATTGGATGTCCTATACTCGCTTCGATAGTAAATTCACAATCCCTGACTCTTACTGTCCTCCCTCTTTTCCTCTTTATGACGGTTTGACCACACTGGACAGGGGAAGAGAGATAGAAGGAGAAGGAGAATGCAATCGGGGAGTAGTAAAAGAGGAGGATGAGGACATGGTGAGGAGAAGGCAGGATGAGGGACAGTACCTTACCTCATTAGGCGGAAGAGGGAGGACAAGGAAACGTGGGAGCAGGAGGAGGGGGAGGAGGAGGAGGAGGACGAGGAAGAGTGAGGAGAGAGGGAGGAGAGAGGGAGGCGGAGAAGGAAACGTGAGAGCGGGAGGAGGAGGAGGAGGAACAGTACCTGATTAAGAGAAAGAGGGAGGAGAGAGGGAGGAGAGAGGGAGGAGGAGGAGGAGGAGGAGGAGGAAGAGGAGAAACAGTACCTGATTAGGAGAAAGAGGGAGGAGAGAGGGAGGAGGAGAAGGAAACGTGAGAGCGGGAGGAGGAGGAGAGGAGGAGGAGGAGGAGGAGGAGGAGGAGGAGGACCTGATTAGGAGAAAGAGGGGGAAGAGAAGGGGGGGGACAAGGAAGTATCAGGAGCAGGAGGAGAAGGACGAGGAGGAGGAAGAGGAGGAGGAGGAGGAGGAGGAGGATCTGATTAGGAGGAGGAGGGAGGAGAGGAAGGGGGAGGACAAGGAAGTATCAAGAGCAGGAGGAGGACGGGGAGGAGGAAGAGGGAGTGGAAGAGGAGCACGACGAGGACCTCTGATTAGATTCTTTCTTGCTGTGATTTGTATCCTTCCTCCCTCTCCTCTTCTCCGTAATGCATTTTTTTTGCTTGTCCTGGTGTTCACGCGCTGTGCCTCTTCACTCCTCACTTTTGAGTTCCATTCACCTCCACGTTTTCTCTGCAACAGAATGCCCCCGCCTGCTCCTCTTTGTAGCATACCACGCTTCGCTCTTACGGACACGTGTCATTTCCCGGCGCGCTTTCGTATTTTGGTATCCCGTCTGTGATTCTTCCACGTCCCCTCGGCTTGTCCACTATGTCGCCCATTTCCCTCTTTTAGAAAGTCTCAAGGCTACAGTGCCAGGGTCCCTAAGCTAGTCCCAAATCCAGGGTCCCTAAGCTAGAGTCCCAGAGTCCCCAAGCTAGAGAATCCTAAAGCCAGGGTCCCTAAGCTAGTCCCAAAGCTTAGTCTCAAATCTAGATCCCCAATGCTTAGATTCCCAAGGCTCGAGTCCCAAGGCTCGAGTCCCAAGGCTCGAGTCCCAAAACTCGAGTCCCAAGACCAAACTCCCAAAGCTAAAGCTGGATCCGAAAGCCAAAGCTGAAGTTCCAAAGTTGGAGTTCCAAAGTTGGAGTTCCAAAGTTGGAGTCCCAAAGTTGGAGTCCCAAAGTTCGAGTCCCAAAACTGGAGTCCCAAAACTGGAGTCCCGAAGCTAGTCCAAACGCTGGAGTCTCAAGGCCAGACTCTCAAGGATTACGTCCTCATCTTCATGGCCAGGCAAAGGACAACAGCATTTTTTTTTTTTTTTTTTTTAATTAATAACAACAGCATTAACCTTGACGGCACGGAACGGAAACCGTGGGAGAGGAAAAGAAAAATAAGAGGAGGAAAAAAAGAAAACGTGGGAGTATCGGTTTGCGGTCTTCTCTTTCTCTTTGTGTATAATGACTTTGAGCGCAGCGTCACTACCTTACCTTTTTGCTCTTATCTGCTGCCTCTCTCGCTTCGGCGTGACACGAGCCTGAACACGAACTGACCGGGCAACTGGTCTTTCTTCTGTTCTAGCTTCTCTTTGGTTTGTTTTTTTTGAGAGAGCATTTGCACGAGGTAAAAGAGAAAGTCGAAATAAAGGTAAAAAGAGAAAGTCGAAATAAAGATAAAAAAGAACAAAGCCGAAATAAAGGTAAAACCTGAAAAAAAGAAAAAAAACAAAGCGCATTCGTTTTGTGATTTCTCTTTCATTGTGGAGGAGTAGTGAAGACTGGCGTGCATGTCTAGACATGCATCCAGCCTCCCGATCTACTCTGTAGTCAACGGCGGGGCACGGTAATCAATTCAGGGCATACTCGCAGTACGACTTTTCTTACGTAGTTCTGAACGGAATTATGGCCCGATACATCCAGGTATGGCCGTAAATGCGATCAGATTCATTTGCAATACTGCTGGTGTG